GGCGTTCTGTATGCTTCAGTTACCAGAATGTCAGATTGTTTCCTCATATTTGGGAAGTTTTCTGCTATTACTTCTGCCCATATTTTTTTAATGTCCCGTGGTCCCTTTGAACTGCCCATCCACTGTCCCCTGCAGGTCATGACGAGAGAGGGGCAGTGGTTTGCAGACTGGGATGAGGTTCCCCGCAGCAGGCACACCCAAATCCGGCCCACCATGTTCCCACCAAAGGACCCTGAAAAGTTACAGGCGATGCACCTGGAACGCTGGTGAGTGGGGGGACGCCACGGTTCAGAGGTGGGTCAGGCTGTGGTGGCTGGTAAGCTTTGTCAGGAGCAGGACAGGCAGCGGGGACACGGGTGTGAGGCTGGTCCTTCCAAGGCCGCCACCGAGTGTGGGGACTTGCAGCTGGCAAGACGTTCTGCTCCTTGTTCGTACTGCACAGAGCACAGTGAAGGAGGTTGTGGGGGCTGCTGGGGGGTTTGCATGAAGACCTGACCTTCCTGTTGTCATGTGATCTTTATCATAACACCTGAACACGCTGGGCTCGTTCACGAAGTGCTAACTGTACGTGTGTAATTCTAGCCTTAGGATATTACCACACCATCAGAACACGGGCGGGTTCTTTGTGGCCGTCTTGGTGAAGAAGTCTTCGATGCCATGGAATAAGCGTCAGCCAAAGGTAAGAGCTTTGTTCCAGAATGACGCACAGAGCATGCGGGCGTTTTGCACCGGTAGGACACAGTGAACGCTAGAGAAGGGCTGAGCCTGTGTGAGGTGGGATTCGTTTAACTTACCCAGCGAACAGACATTTGTCACGGAAATGGTGGTGGAAAAGCCAGTGTCTGAGCAATGAATTCTGTCTGTATCCAAGTCTAGTTATTTAATAACAAAGAGACATAAAGATCGACCTGGGCTCTTAGTCTGATCCCCCAGTCTGTGTTCCAGTACTCTCAACTTTGTTCCCACCCAGGCAAGTCCCCAGGACCGGGCACCTCAACATAGGGCAGGCTTCCCTGCCTTGGCCCTGAGCATCCTGTCAGGAAGGCTTTGCCAGGCCCCACCCTGATGCGGCCTGGCCTGGCCTGGCCTGGCCTGGCGAGATCAGGCAGCCTGCACCTCCCCTCTGCGAGGGCCACCTAGAAGCAGCCACTTCCGGGCTGCCGCTGTCCTGCGGCGCTACCACTGCTGTACCAGTGTTTGCCTCCGAAGAGTCTAAGGGAAAGTGATCTCCAGGTGGGCAGAGCTGGTTCAGCCTCCAGCTGGCAAAGGCTCAGCCCTGTGCCGGTGCGCCTCTGCCAGGGTCCTTTGCCAGCCAGGAAGGGCTTCACCGAGTAGGTCTGCCTTGGAGAGCCTGTTCCAGGGGTCTCTCTCAGGAGTCGAGCCATGGGTGCTCGGCGCTGTGCTCCTGATAGGAACGGGATGCCAGCCTGTGTGACCTACGTCCCTGGCAGCGCTGTAAGAAGTGAGGTGAATTGCAGTGTGCTTACCCAGATGTTACACATGTTACTTCAAGCGATCATTATAAGAAACTGGAGACCGTGTGCATTTGTTGATAGCATATTTTGACACGAAGAAGTGTGTTTTGCTGTTTACTTATGATTCAGCATGAGAAATTGAACCGAGGACCTCCTAAAGAAAATATCAGTGAGCTATATAACACCCCCCAAATCCATGTGGCTCAGCCTTACACCCCCATCTCACGTGGCACGGGTCACGTAAGCAAGGTCTGCACCTGGCTAGCTGCTCTGGAGGGGAGAGCCTGCTGCCCGCCCATGTGCTGTGGATTTACTTGCACTCTGTGTCTTGTTGGCTTTGTCAGCTTTCCATTTGCTGAGACCCAGCCCCCAATACCTGCTCCTTCAAGGAGGAAACACTGCATTTGCTCTTGGCTCGGGGTGTTTTGCCCATGGTCCTTGTCCTTGTGCTCTTTGAGTCCCCTGGCAGCGCCAGTGCCAGTCAGGCGGTCAGGTTGACGGTCCAGCCTAGCTGACAGGCACCTGTGTGACTGGGTTTGGGCTGCCTTGCAATTAGCCTCTGATGAGCTGTCGTACTTTTCAGATTCACCTGTTCTCAGTGGCCCAGTTAGCTGTCTTCTCTGCATTTCTGCCATGTGTCTGTCTGGGCTCCTTGGTCTGCAGCACAGCCTCTCTTGGACCCAGTGGGGCTCCCAGGGGCCCGAACCCTTGCAGAAAGTGTGCCGTTGGTATTTCAAGGGAGGCAGGAAGTGACCTGGGAGACGGGTCAGGGAAGGCACCGCAGGGAATGGCCATGAGATGGCTCTGAGCTCAGAGGTGCATTTCAAGACCCAAGGGAGATAGGGAAAGAGAGCTTCAGGCAGCATGCACCGCATTTTCACACTCTGTACCTGCACAGCTGTGCTCCGGTTGGTAGTGTTAAGAGTGACATGGACTCAGGCTTTGTGACTGTGTGACACTGAGGAAAATCAGAGCTCGCCCTTGCCGAAGTTCCCCAGTTTCCAGTCATACTTTGGTTCGTGAATGTTCCTGTTTTGCAGACAATTCCGTTCTCAAAAGCACAAGCAGAAATTTTCTTCCCTTCATGAACTTTGCACTAGGAGTCAAACACAACCACAGCCTTCATCCCTAAAAGCATACCAAATTAAGTTCATAGACTGAAGTACCCCGGTATTCCCAAGAGCTAGGGCTTGCCATCTTATGGCCTGTTGGACAGGGTAGAGTTTTCAAGAGTTTGTGTGTGCATGCTGGGAATCAAACATGGGCCCTCACTCGTGTGAGGCAAGTCCTCTGTCATGGAGCTCCAGGCCAGCCCTAAAGACTGTGACGGAAGCATTTGTGAGTGCCCGAGGGCAGGCTTAGTCATGCTGTGGTCCTAATGGTAGAGTTTGTTCTTGGCCTTCTGAGCCAGAGGTCCTGGCCAGGCCTTACGCCCTTGCTTTGCCCCTGCCGGATCTCACTGGGATCATGGTGCTTGCAGGGCTCGCGCCTGCCGTGGCCTTCTGTCCTTGTGAGCAGAGGTGCCCTGCGGAGTTGGCCTCACCCTGAAGGAGCAGAGCGTGCAGGGCCATCGTGAAGAGCAGGCAGATTGGCAGTGGTGCCTTTCTGCGGAATCCTGCTTTCTTCTCATACCCCGTCCTGAAGGAAGGTGAGGTATTCTGGCCCTGACATGAGCTTGCAATGCCCCTGCGACAGGTCCAGGGGAAGTCTGCAGGGAGCAGAGAAACCTCGGAGTTGAGCCCCATGGCACCCATGGAAGGGACACCCAGTGACCCCCCTGAGCCGGACAGTCAGGCAAACCCAGGGACCGGCGATGCAGAGATCACTCAGACAACTGAGAATTCAGAGACTAACGACAATAAGAAGGATGGCGTGTGTGGGTAAGAAGAGGCCTGCCTTGGCAGGCTGGGTGCTCACCGGATGGAGCCAGAGCTGGGGTGGGGAGGCGTCCCCTCAGTCTGCTTCCCCCAGCTCCTGTGCACGCTGGCTGCACAGCCCAGGCCCAGCTCTGGGGGAGGGGGCGTGCTTCACTGCCCCGTCACTCTTGCCTCCCGCCTTCTTATTCCACTAGTCCTCCTCCGTCGAAGAAGATGAAGTTATTTGGGTTTAAAGAAGATCCGTTTGTGTTTATTCCTGAAGACGACCCGCTGTTCCTGCCTATTGAGTAAGTGTAGACTCGGTCTAATTCTTCTTCAGAGAAGTTGGCTGTGCAGTGGTACACACGCAGCAGATGCCAAGTGGCCACTGTGCGTTGAGCTCTGTGTGGCTTCCCTCCCTTTGAGCCATGTGTCAGACCGGGATGAGACTTTACAGTTGTGTACTCAGCCTTCAGGGTAGACTTCCCAGAAGAGACAGGTGAGAAGCTGTCGAGGCCCCAGGGTCGCTCCGCCAGGCGAGCCGGAGGCCAGTGGCTGAGGCTACCCTGCCGGTTCGTAGCGAGGAGGGCAGCACAGAGCAGAGTGTCTGGATGGCTGTGTCCATGCCCCCAGTGGTCACTCCTCTTGCCTCCTGCATAGCTGGCCTTGTGCGTAAGTTTGTAGAAGGTGACTCAGGTCCTTGTCATTAGAGTGGTAGTTGAGGGAGGGAAGCTGCCAGGGTTAGCAGAGCCTTGGCCTGGTTGTATCCACACATGCTGCTGCAGGTTGGGATGAAGGGAGGAGCTGGCAGGTGGGGCCCTGGCAGAGCCTGCTGCTGTGAAACCCTGAAGCAGTGGGCGAGGCGGAGGGGGCAGGGCCTCGGAGCACAGTGTGTGGGACAGTCTGCTGCATTCTGAGAAAGCCCTGTGTGACGCAGTGTTCCCTTCACAGGAAGTTCTACGCTCTGGATCCCTCATTCCCGAGGCTGAACCTGCTAACTCGAACTACAGAAGGGAAGAAGAGGCAGCTCTATATGGTGTCCAAAGAGCTGCGGAATGTGCTGCTCAACAACAGCGAGAGGATGAAGGTGTGTGCCCTGAGGACGGTGGTGGGCCGGGGTGACTCGGTGTGCACAGCGGGCAGCACAGTCCACACAGGGTCAGGTGGGGGTGGGGCTTGCAGGCGCGGCGCCGGGGTCCTTCCGTCCTCATGCGCTGTGTCAAGCAGCCCTTCTTGCGTTCACCATTGCGTGACCCCTTTTCATTTTTCCTCAGACTTTTGCCTCTCCCCCTTTCCTGTTTGTGGAATAAAGCAGGTTGCCAAGCGCACTGAGGTTCACCGAGTCACAGATCGGACTTGGTCACACTATTCTCAGGGCGTAGCTCTGCACAGCAGCTTTGTGCCTTGGGGGCTGGTGCAGTGAGTGCTGCCCTGTGCTTGTGTTCAGAGTGCCCAGCTTTAATCTCTGCTTTGGTGATTTGTCACCATGAGCTGCGTGCACAGGAGCACCCGGGAGACCGTGCTGCAGTGAGGTGGCCCTGTCTCCTGCCCTGTCCTTCACAGCTGCCCCGGCATCCTCACTGTTCACAGAAGAGATGTTCTTCACCAGTGAGCCTGCATGTTGTCTTCCATCTGTTGATTTTTTTTTTTTTTCTTTATAGGTTATTAACACAGGGATCAAAGTCTGGTGTCGAAATAACAGTGGTGAAGAGTTTGATTGTGCTTTCCGGTTGGCACAGGAGGTAATTTTAGGAGCAGGTTTAGACAGCCCTGGCCGCACTTGTAGGGATGAGCGGGCCTTCTGGTCATGCAGCAGAGCCCGGTGCCGGGGCTGGTGGCCCTCTCAGCCATGAGGCTGAGCAGCGAGCTGAGCTCCTGGGCTGGGGCCCGCCCCGGCAGTGCTGTGGCCAGGGCTCTGGCAGACGCAGAACACCCTGCAAGAGGAGGTGTGTCATTCCTGATGGCAGCACAGTGATGTCTTTGTTTCCACAGGGAATATATACGTTGTATCCCTTTATTAATTCAAGAATTATTACTATATGCATGGAAGATGTTAAGATCCTGTTGACCCAGGAAAATCCGTTTTTTAGAAAACTCAGCCTGGAAACGTACAGTCAAGCCAAGGACATGGGTAAGCAATTGGCGTTGCCGTGGTTGGTGCAGCCTGATCAGGTGAAGAGATGCAGGTGCAGACGCACACAGGTGTTTGTTTCTTTGACGTATCTTTTCAGTCACATGCTCTAGGAGCTGTACGTGATTACAGCTGACCTGGAGTGTGCACCAAGTTGTACTGTTTCAGTGAACCTGGTGCCTTTTCATGCAAAGGACTTGGTGTCTCAGTACCGTGGGCTCCTGGAGCCCGTACAGTGCAGGGCTCCTCGGTGACTCAGTGTGCAGAGAGCTTGTAATCAGCATCATAACCCGATAAGTATCGGCGGCATCTTTGGGGGTGCTCTGCCCCCCGCCCCGGTGCAGCCCATGGTGCTATGCAGCAGCCCGCACCACATCTGCACGGGTGTTGGGTGTGCCCACTGCCCAGCACCTGGACTTCTGTCGGCCAGTGCATCCCGAGCCCCCTGGGGCCTGACTCCACCTCTGTGGTAAGGCACAGGCCACCTGCCGAGCAGTGGCTGCATTGGCCGCACGTTGATTTGTGTTACAGAGCAGCACTGCCTGTCCCGCTTGCCAGTGAGGTTACAGTACCAGCTGCATCTGCCTGGCTCGGTCTGCTGGGAGCCGCATCGTCAGGCCTGTGGTTGTGTCATGGTCCACGTGGCTGTCAGCTGCAGGCGTGCAGCAGGCAGAGCACTGCATGGCATCTGCCGCCGCCTCCTCCCGTCTCCTTCGCAGGAGCCACAGGGAGAGATGCACTTGCAGATGAGACCCTTGGTACTTATTTTCCTTTAGTTCCACATTTAGTTCATTGCAACATAATTTTCGATAACTTTTGTATTTTGCACTGTTTCAGCAAGTTGAAGCTGTAGTTTAATTTTTGAGAGGGAGCCCATTTCCCAGGCTCCCTGCCCAGGAGAGGACTGGCAGGGTGGTGTCACCATCACACCATGAGCGGTTTGGCACTGGCCTCTGCACCCCAGGGGTCAGCTCCGTGTGTTCAGGCTGTGCGGGGTTCCTGTCCTCTGTCCTTTGAGCAGCACAGTCCGTAATCATGCTCCATTCGTGTCCACTACTAGCCAGAGAACTTCATAAATGTGTGTGCTTCTCTTCCAGCAAAGGGGAGTGTTGTGCTGAAGTATGAACCTGATTCCGCGTAAGTCGGCATACCTTGCCACTGATGAGTGTGTCTTCCCGCTGAGGGGTTGTCCAGGAGTGATGGGAGCCCTCATGATCTTAGTGGCCTTTTACTGTCCTCTTAATGAGATTGTGGGGCCAGGGAGATGGCTCAGTAGAATAAGTGCTTCCCTGGCAAGTGCAAGGGCCTGAGTTCAATCCCCAGTTCCACAAAAAAAAACCCAAAATAATGAATGAGATTGTGCTGGGCGTGGTGGCGCACACCTGTAGTTTCAGCACTCAGGAGGCTGTGGCAGGAGGATCGTTACGAGTTTGAGGCCAGCCTCGACTACGTAGTGAATTCAGGGCCAGCCTGAACTGCATAGTGAACTCTTACCTCAAAAACAACAAAAAGATAAAAGTAGATTGAGAGAACACCTCTAGATCACTGAGGAAAGACTTCCTGGAATAACCAGCCGAGATGTCGTGTACTTGTGTTTGGAGAGATGCCATCTGTGCCCTACAAATAGAAGCTGGCTTCTGACTTACCACACAGTGGGGTCAGCTGACCTCAGGCGGGGCAGGTTCCGTTCTCGCCACTGCTCGGCCATGAGTGAGCCTGTTGCATCTTTCTGGGGCTGAGGGCAGCCGGGTTCCGCCTGGGACCCTAGCTCTGGAGCTCACACTTGGTGTGGAGCCTTGACCCCCAGTCCCCGGGGCGCAGGGCTGCCTCGGCGGCCATTGGCAAGTGCAGGAGCTGAGTGAGAGCCAGGCGTCCTGCGGGGCTGGCCTCGCGTGGAGGCGGGAGGGAGGGTGTGCATGGGCTCTGGGTGGACATGCGCGGTGACAGGACGGCTTGTGGCCAGGCTTGCTGTACACCACGTCATGAGGCACTGAGCTGAGAAGCGGTGGGTGTGCGGGTCCCAAGGCTGGTGCTGCCACCTGCAGACTGGCTGTCACCCATTCTGTGGGTGACACTGAGGTGAGGTGCAGGGAGGACCATGGAGCTCCAGCAGCAGCTGTACGCTGAGTGAATGCCTGGGCCTCGGAGTAGAAATCCTGCCCTGTGCTGTGGCTGCCCACTCACCTGGGCTGGGAGGTAGATTTTGGATGTCTCCATGGCTGCACGAAGTTGGTGTTGATTCGGTGCGTCTTTGTGCACAGGAACCCTGAGGCCCTGCAGTGTCCCATCGTGCTGTGCGGGTGGCGGGGCAAGGCCTCCATTCGCACCTTCGTGCCCAAGAATGAGCGGCTGCACTACCTCAGGATGATGGGGCTGGAGGTGCCGGGCCAGAAGGAGAAAGAGGGCGCCCCACTTCCCAGTGAGGGTGTGGTGGGCTCTGTGTCACGGGATGGTGGACTGGATGAGGAGCTGGCAGAGAAGCCCCACGCAGAAGAGGCTGGTGCTGTGGACACCACTGGGGGCTGCGAGCCACCCCAGGAGGACGCTGGGCGCTGAACTGGCTCTCCTAGGCCCTGGGGTCAGGCCGGAAGTAAGCTCCTCCACTGGGCTGGGAAGTGTTCTTAGTAACTGAGACACAGGGCTGACCTGGTGTCAGTACAGGGGCTCATCATTGCTCTGTGGAGCTTAGGAGGAGAAAGTCTTGGTAGCCTCCGGTTGCTCACTTTCCTGTGCTCTCTGGCAGAGCGGGCCTGAGCAGCTGTGACTCACCGCTGAGTCATCCTGCCCTCCGGAAAGAGCCCTGCCCCTGCAGCGGGCTAGGACACCTTTCATTATGCCCACACTGGTCCCAAGGTCCAGTCTTACAAGTTACTATTCATGGGCAGAGTCAGCTCCTAGAGCCCGGGGGGCCAGGGGCTGGTGGTGGTGGCGGTGGCAGCCGTGATCCTGTGCCTTTGTAACAAAGCCAAGGGAACCTTATGAGGTAGCACTAGGCCGAGGGTTGTACTGGGGGCGGGGGGCGGGGGGGCTGTGATTTTATTCAGTGGGTGCTTGGCAGTTTTTATTTTTAAAAAGGGTTGGAAATCCTAAGAATATTTAAATAAAGAGCTATTGATGACATGTCTCATGTTTCTCATATTTTTGTCTTGAGGCAAAAGAAATGTTTTTGGTTACAAGGAAGTTGCAGACTCAGCGGTGGAGTCCTTGCTGCTCAGTGTGATTGGCCTAGTCACTGCTGTGGCGCCCCCAGCTGGTGAGCTGAGAAGCTATGGTTGTGTGGGCACAGTGGGACACACTGGGGCTTACAGACAGACAAGGCCCTGAACCCCCAGCTCATGCTTGGGGCTCTGGCCATTTTAGACGGCCGAGCTTCATGACATGTCAGTCCTAGGTTTGGGTGGCACACTGTGCAGCCAAGAGAACTTTCCAGATTTGAAAACTAGAAATAGGGCAAAGTGGAGCCTTTGTGCCCCTGTCACCTGGCTTCAGCAGTGGCCACACTACAGAATTACTTCTCCCATTGTCTGCATTATCTGAGCGCTTGCAGCCAGAAGGCACCCTTTCAGTGGGAGCATGCCACCAGCCAGTCTAAAGGCTCACTCTGACCCTGGACCCCCTTGTTTTCTTGGCCCAGAGAAACCCAGGCTACATGCTACATTAGCTTGTCTGAGTCAGCACTCCCTGCCAGTACTGTCAGCAGCCCCACCTGTCCACCCAGCTGACTTCTCAGGGCGACACCGTCCCATGAGGATGGCAGCACTTTGCACGTGGTGGGTGAAGCCGCCTGTTTCTGATCCACGGGCCGGCAGGGCATCACTGTGTCTGAGTCGCTCCTGCAGACTCGGTGCCTAACTGTAAGCCCGATGTCAAGACCTACCGTCAACAGCATGGCGGGGCTCAGCCCACTTCAGTCTGGAGCTTGGCCTTTTGTGACTGTCGTGGGTCCTGTCCCCATGCTGCACACAGGTGGTGCTGTGTCCCTGCAGCAGGAGCTCTGGAGCAGCCTGTGCCCTCACCAGGCTGCTGAGGTCCACGGGCAGCTTGGCACCGTCTGCTGCGTTCCTCTGCTGAGACATGGGTGTTGCCACAGCACAGGACCTTCCGGACCACATGCTTTGCCACTCATTGCTGCTTCGGGGATGCTCGATAATTTGGCCACAACCTCTCTTTACCAAGATGGCTGCAAAATGGTGGACTTCTACTTTCCGCTGCCATTGTCTACATTGTATATACATTGACACTGTTCTCTGTCTTTACCCATTTGTATCACTACATTCAAGCAAGAGTTCATTAGTCCTCATCTGTTAGTATCGTTACTGTTACATCCTCAGATTGCTTCCGAGTTGGTACACGGGCGCTGCTTCCCCTAGGTTCTGCTGCCCTGCTGCCCCATTACTCTTCCTGGCACAGTAAGGGGGACTGAGGCCCTCAGAGTCCAGCTCCATGTACTGCAGCTTGGCGGTCAGGGCCCCAGATGGAGATGGGCTGGCATTTGCTGGGGACTTCACTGCACAGAGCTTGCTGGTCCTGTCCTTGGCTTGGCAGTGCTGGGAGGAGGTGGTCGCCTGGCTGAAGAGTGAGCCCCAGGGGTGCGAGCTCAGCGACAGTCCTCACAGTGAGAGGTGTTCCCGACCTCCACTCATTTCAGTCAGTGTTTTGACCAGTCTGATCCCAAAGAGCGCTTTGCAGTAGGAAAGACAGTCCGCTGCAGAAGGGGTTCTTGTCCCTCTGTGGACCCAAGTCACTGGACCAGGGCACCTCTGATGCAGCAAGGGGCAGACTCAGCCCTTGCACCCCATCTTTGCTTCTGAACTTTGGAATATGGTAAGAAGTTGGATAACATTTCTCAGGAAAAGTGTGATGGAGGTGCACTGCACAGACCAGCATCTGTGTGTGACAGCAGACAACAGAGACACCAGCTTGGTCACTGGAGTCACCAAGAGAAATGGGACAGCCTCCGGAAGTTGAAAGTGAGGGATGGGGCTGGGGGGGATGGCTCGGTAGAATAAGCGCTTCCCTGGCAAGTACAAGGATCTGAGTTCACTCCCTGATTCTGTGAGAAAAAAAAAAAAAAGGCGCACAGAGGGGAGAAGTGCTGCTGGTAAGCCCGCGCACACGCCCTGCAGTGTGCAGACTGATGGGAGGAGGCGGGCTGACCATGGCGGGCCTCCCGGGGCTGAGGCCAAGGTGAGGGGTTTTGAACACTGGACCTGGGGCTCCTAGGTAGCTCAGTAAGCGAATGAGTGAGGCCTGAGGGCCTCAGAGTGGGGCTGTGTCCCTCGTGTGACAGTCTCCATGGGCCCAGTGAAAGCTGCAGCTGGGATGACTGCAGTTGGGAGTGGGGACCTTCCTGTCCCACCTGCCACCAGGATATCCGTGGGCCAGCCCCCCTACCAGGAGACTCAGCTGGGAGCTGACCGTGCTGCCCCTGTACCCCCACCCCCCTCCCCACATGCCTCTGCAACTGTGTACCTGTTTATAGGCCGTAGCAGAGAGCAGAAAGCAAAGTGACCTCCCTACAAGACAGGCAGGGGAGGTGGTGGGGAGAAAGCAGGAAGAAAACAAATTAGTTCCAAAACCTGAATGGACACTGGCAAGCGTTCACACAAGATGCAGGTGTAGATACTGTATTTTAATTATGTTTTGAATTGCTAAACATTCTGAGCTCAATATTTGAGAGGTTCAGAGCAGTAAACATCTCCCTCCCGCCCCTCAGCCCTCCAAAGAGGCAGCCAGCAATTTCCTGACTTTCCTTCCAGGGACAGTCTGTACAGACAGGACTGGATAGGTGGGCTCCCCTTTTTGCAAATACTGACATTCCAATGGGATATTCTGCTCCTCAGCTCTGTTTCTGTGAAATAACAGAGCTCGCTTCTGATGGGCTGTCAAAGCCACGGCCCTCCCTCACCTCGCCACATCCTTATGAGTAGACGGTTTTTTCCAGTCCTTTGTTGCTGCCTAAAAGCCTGCAATGGATAACGCCACACTTTTCATTCCAAATATCACACCTGTGTAGTAGGTTGGAATAAATCTCTGGAAGGGCCAGGGAGTGTGCATTTTAAGTGATAAGGTGCTCAGCATGTCGATATTATCAAATAAAATGGCAAATTGGCAGCTGAGAGAAACAGCAGCCTTTCTCTATTTTATAGCTATAAAAGGAATGCTCCATCAAAAACATGAAGCACCTTGCAACAAAATGTTGAGAAAAATATTACAGGAAGAAAAATGACATCCACAGTTATAGTGAGACATTTTAATAGCTTGTCTCAGAAATGGGAAAATAAAGCAGAGTAGAAGCACTTGAATGTCAGTCTACAGGCCTGAGTAAGTACCGAGTCATGAAATGGAATACTACAGGCTCAGGAGCGTTGCCCAGTGGCTCCACAGCTTATTCTCTTTTTTTAAATTATTTATTTATTTATTTATTGTGTGTGTGTGTGTGTGTGTGTGTGTGTGTGTGTGTGTGGCCAGCTCAGCCCACCAGGGGGCGGGGCTGGCTGGCATGTGGTGCTGGGGGATTGAACCGCGGTCCCTGTGCTTTGCTAAGCTTGTTCCAAGTAGGTGCTTTAGACCACTGAGCCATCTCACCAGCCCTCCACAGCTTATTCTGAGAAGCCCGAGGAAACAGACAACTCACTGATAACCGCTCAGTAAAAAGGAAGAGCACTGCTCGGCAGAAGCTTTCAAGCTTGCGTGCACACACCAAACCTACCTTCCCACCCCTGGCTCCAAAGGTGGAGAAGAAATAGAAACGCTCGGGTAAGGAGCTCGTCCAGCAACAAGGCTCCTGCTGGCTGATGCGCCTCTGGCCTGGCCAGGTGTGTCCAGGTGATGCCTGTCGGCTTCTACCAAGGGAGGTGGCAGCTGGCGGTGGCCCGGCACGCTTCTGTCGCTCCATTGAGGGCTTCATCTCTCTCCTCTTAGGAAAAAATGTGTCTGGGTAGGACTGATTTGTACTTTCCAGTTGTCAAGACAGACAGTGTAAGCAGGTGGCTTATAGACAGCCACATTGGTTTCTCACAGTTACGGAGGCTGGAAGTCAAGATGGAGATGCCAGAGGATTCTGGGAAATTCTAGATCTTTTGATGGCCACTTCCTGCTTCGTAGATGGTGACTTAGTGGAGAGAAGGCCAAGGTTTCTTTTGTAAGCAGCTTGTTCTCTTGCAGGCTCTGCCCTCAGGAGCTGATCACCTCCCCAGAGCATCACCTCAGAGTTGGGGGTCAGGGTTCCACATCTGCATGGCGGGGTGCAGAGGGGTGAGCGTTCGGATGGAGCACAGCTGCAGATGCAAGGAGGCAGAGGAGTTTGCAGAGGGTGGAACTGTGTGCAGACTGCCCCGAGAACTGGCTGGCAAGTGGCCTGCGTTTCCACACAATCCTGTGAGATGTCTCCACCAAGGAGGCATTCCTCCTGCCCAGGAGGAAGTCAACCCCCCTAGGGAGCTGAGCCACGGCAGATTCACCTTTGAGCTGGCCTAAGCAATTTAGGGATGAGGGCAGGTCAGGAGGAAAGCCCTGGGCTCAATCTTTGATACCAGAAACAAAAAGATCCCTTTCTAGGGGCAGCTGAAGGGGAAACCTCTTTTGTGGTGCTGACTGTTGAGACTGAGTGAAGAAGCAGTGTGAGCTGAGAGTTGAAGAAGTGAGGCCATGCAGACATTCTAACCAGCAAAACGCGCACCTGTGGCCACAAGGCCGCCCACTCCCCGTGGCCCCGACCACTGCCTGGACACACCCATCTGGTTGCTTGACTCCACCCCCTCTCCTGGCACCTTGCACCCTGAGCCAGGCTCTGAGCCAAGGACTTACCATAGAGGAAAGAAAACCAGCAAATCCCTTTCCACTCCAGGTCGGTCATTGGCTGGGCACGCACCACTGAGCTGCCAACCAGCAATAATGAGCCCTCAGTGCCCACAAAGGATCTTAGAGTCCCCTGTCTCCGACCACCTTAAGCTATGTTCCCCTAGGGGTGGGTGGGCACTGTGTGACGACTGTGTGACCACTGCTGGGGGGAAGGAATAAAGAAGTAATTGTTTAAGCTCACTGGCTCTTCTTTCAATTAATTAATTAATTAATTTTTT